ATCATGACACACCTTCTACCCAAGATGCATAAATTGGCCAAGTTTCAAGACTGTAAGTCTAATCGTTTTCTAGTTATGAGCCAAACAAAACAACAAAACAAAAAAGAAAAAATGCCGGTAAAATGCACAAAAATCATCCAATCATGATGAAAATACTAGGTGCACACCTTCCTATGGTGAATAATAAGTGTACAAATTTTCAGACAAATCCATCCAATAGTTTCTGAGAAACATTCCGGACAAAATCTTGTCTACAGATAGACGGACGGACGGATGGACAGACGGACAAGGTGATTCCAGTATACCCCCCTAAACTTCATTTGCGGGGGTATAAAAACTTCATTTGCGGTGGTATAATTAATAAGATACAATTATTTGGTTGTAAATCATTTTGAAGGTGGTGAAAAATAAGCATTTTTGTACCCCCCCCCCAAGCTTTGGCATAAATTAACCTTTCACATTAATAAACAAGATGTGTTTGTAAAACACTGATGCCCCGTATGGCAACATAGCAAAGATTAAAACTTTTCTTAAATGCAAATTTAATTAATTGGTACCAAAAGTAGGGTATTGTATTCTTACTGGAAAAACAATTGTGAAATTTGAAAGTAGGCCAATCTTAAAGTTTTTTCAGTAAGTACAAAAATCTCCAAGGTCAAGGTCAAAAGGTCAAGGTAATTGGTATCCAATGAAAGGTCTTGCCACATAGAGTACTTATGTAGAGTATGGAAGCTCTAGCCCTAACTGTTCAGAAGTTATGGCCAAGGTTAATTTTTTTTTAAAAAGTAGGTCAAACTCCAAGGTCAAGGTCAAAGTGTCAAAGTTCTTGTTATCAAATGAAACGTCTTGTCACAAAAATTAAATAAGTAAAGTATGAAAGCAATAGCCCTAACCCTTTAAAAGTTATGGTCAAGGTTTTCTTTTTTAAAGTAAGTCAAATTCAAAGGTCAAGGTCAAAGGATCAAAGTTCATGGTATCCAATAAAGGGTCTTTTCACAAGGATAACATATATGAAGTAAGAAAGCCCTATTCCTTACCTTTCAAAAATTATGACCAAGGTTAAAGTATGTTCAAAAGTACAGAAATCTACAAGGTCAAGGCCAAAGGGTCAAGGTTGTTGGTATCCAATGAAAGGTCTTTCAACAAGGAATACATACAAACTGTATATGAAGTGTAAATGTCTACTGTTCGAAAGATAATGCCCAAATAAAACTTTAAAATTTTCATGTAAAAGTGGGTCAAACTCCAAGGTCAAGGTCAAAAAGTCAAACATGGTGGTACCTGAAGAAATGTCTTGTCACAAAGAATACACATGTGAAATATGAAAGCCATGGCTCCACTAAATCAAAAGTTATGGGCTATTTGCAATGGCATGAAATCACTTTTGAAAAAATGAATTTATCGCTTACATCTCATTATGAAGTACAAATCCAAGCATTTTTTTTTTCACATCAATGTACTTATACCTGTACATGGACAATATTGTTACGTTTCACGAAGTGTACCTGTGAAATTCGGGTTAACTCTTGTTTACAAGTTCGGAATAAATGGACATTGAACCTGATGTTTTTAAACTCCGTAAATAAGTGTCAATGAACAGTTAACGAAAGAAATGAACAATAATTGATTTAATGACTTTATTAATTTAACATGTATAATTTAATGAGAAAGTGATGTATTTTGTATGTTTTATATGGGTACAACGTTATTAATTTAGTAGGTAATTTTGTTGGTTAAAACCCGCTAACTTATTGATTGTATTGATTGTGACGTAATAGGTATCTGATTGTTTCTTACGTCATCATAACAACTCTTGTCTATATAAACCAGCTGTTTTGGGTTTAGACTTCAGTCGGTTGTGGGGAGCGACTCAGAGCACACAGCCTTCCCTGGTAAGGGAAAAGTGACCTAAGTCACTTTGGGGAACGACTCCGTATACTTCAGTTATAAGACGGTACCAAGTCTATGTATACGAAACCATTAAGGGGACCAAGTTAGTAGGAACGTCCTGTATTGACCATCGGTTGGTCACCTTTTTCTGAATCAAATAACGTTGTACCAACCAAGTTACAGTGTACCATTCTGTGTGTTTATAAGTGAACCATTTGTTCGTCTTAATAAATGTTATAAACTTTTTACAAGTGTTATTCCTGACGATTCAAGTACAAACATTATTTAAAGCGGACCAAAAATTGGTCATAACGTTAACCAATTAAGTGACCAAAAATTGGTAATTCCATTAACCAATTAAGTGACCAAAATTGCTGATTAACCATTATATAAACTGTGACCAACGGAACCATCAAATCTCGACCAAGTGACCAGAAAACCAATAGCGGCCCACGAGTTAATTATAACACGATACCCTCGGTCTCGTTACAATATTTTAGCCTTTGTTATTAAACTTCCTTTAAAAAATTTTTGAAAAATATCTCATTTTCCTTTATTCTTTTAAATGTGCATATTGCTATAAAAGTTACTGTGGATTATTATTGCAATAAGACTACAATAGAAGGAGTAGCTTTTAATAAAATTTTACGAAATTTTCAATATAAGTTACCATGTCAACATCAATCATCAAATTCAAAAACACAAAACTGATAATTATGTATCTCGGTATAGTCTACCTGTGTTCTAAATTATATTATAATCAGACCAAAACTGTAAAAGGAGCATTTTAAAATTATTTCACAGAAATTTCTATTTTTAGTAGCCACAGCAACACCGTTCTTCGAAATCAAAAACCAATATACAGTGTTATGTATCTTAGTGTAGTCTACTTGTGTGCCAAGTTATATTGAAATCAGACCAAAACTGTAGGAAGAGTAGCATTTTAAAATTGTTTCATAGAAATTTTTATTTTTAGTAACCACAGCGACAGTGTTCATTGAAATCAAAAACTGATACACATAATTATGTATCTTAGTGTGCCAAATTATATTAAAATCAGACTAAAACTGTAGGAGGAGTAGGATTTTGAAAGTATTTCATAGAACATTCTATTTTTAGTAGCCACAGCAATACCGCTCATCAAATTCAAAAACTGATATACAGAATTATGTATCTTAGTGTAGTCTAATCGTGTGCCAAAGTATATTGAAATCAGACCAAAACTGTAGTAGGAGTAGCATTTTGAAAGTATTTCACAGAAATTTCTATTTTTAGTAATAATGGCACCACCCTTCAATGAAATCAAAAACCGATATACAGAATTATGTATCTTAGTGTACCCTACATGACTTTTGTGCCAAGTAATATTGAAATCAGACTAAAACTGTAGGAGGAATACCATTTTGAAAATATTTCACAGAAATATATATTTTTTGTAACAACGGCAACACCGTTCATTAAAATCAAAAATCAATACACAGAATTATATATGTATCTTAGTGTAGTCTACTTGTGTGCCAAGTTATATTGAAATCAGACCAAAACTGTAGGAGGAGTAGCATTTTAAAAGTATTTCACAGAAATTTCTATTTTTAGTAACAACAGCAACACCATTCATCAAAATAAAAAAAATTTGAAAAAATATTTACAGACAGACGGACAGCTAGACAGACGGATGGATGACGGATGCATTACTATCACATAAGCTCTTCTGGTCTCTGACCTGTAGAGCTAAAAATACTCAGGTTTGTTCTTCATAATTAGATATAACTGATAAATTTATTTTGTTCAAAGGTGACTTCATGACTGACCTTAACTTCCCATCAGGATATTCTGTTTGTCAATATGGTTTTTGATCTATGTTTTCCTTGTAAGGATTGTTGTAATAAACTATTAAATCAATCTTATAATTTATTTTTATATATTTTTATGTAATGAATTACTTTGATTGTGTAAGATAATAAGTGCCTGTTTTGGATTAAGCGGCTTTAAAGTTTGCAGACAAAAAAAGCTATTTTTAGCATATATATATATATATAGGTCACAGTCAAGATCACAAGATCATTGACCTTGATGTCATTTGAAAGAGCTTAATTAGTGGAATATGCGTACCAAATATGAAGTCTCTATCTTTCATGGTTCAAAAGTAATGGCAAAGGTGAAGAAGAGCTTAATTAGTGAAGAATGAACACCAAATATTAAGTTTATTTCTCATGGTTCAAAAGTTATGGTGAAGGTTCTAAAAAGCTATTTTTGACATATAGGTCACAGTCAGATCACAAGTTCATTGACCTTCATGTCATTTGAAAGAGCTTAATTAGTGGAGTAAGCATACCAAATATGAAGTCTCTATCTTTCATGGTTCAAAAGTTAAGGCGAAGGTTAAAGTTTGCAGACAAAAAAGCTATTTTTAGCATACAAGTCACAGTCAAGGTCACAAGGTCATTTGAAATAGCTTAATTAGTGGAATATGCATACCAAATATGGTTTAAAAGTTATGGCAAATGTTAAAGTTTGCAGAGAAACAGACAAACAGACAGAGAGACTGACAAAAACAATATACTCCCTGGATCTATTGATCTGGGCGCATAAAAAAATTTCAGAAACAAGTGCCTGTGGTTATGGGATGATATCTTAATGTCTTTTTGTGTTGCAAATTATATTGCCATCAGACAAAAATAGGAGGAGCAGCATTTTGAAAAATTGTTTGCAGACTGACAGCTGGACAGACAGACTGATAGACGAAGGACACATTACTATGCCATGACCTCTTCAGGCCCTGGGATCATGATCATCTTAAGCTTAAGTCAAAATCTTTATGTTGTTCTGAAATGTTGTAGAAGTCAAGTAGACCAAAACTGATATGTTTTTTTTTATTTTGCCTTAAGAAGGTCATATATTGTTATCTTCAAATTTAGAGATAAAGTCAATAATTGATGAAAATTTTACTGTTGATCAAAAATTTGACTTAAATCTAAGTATGTTTCATGATTGTGTGGCTCTGTCCAGTAGAGCTGAAAAATCAAATACCTAAGGTAAAAGAAAAGTAAGTGTCTGGCTTAGTGTTAATTTGATAAAGAATTTCATTTAAATGTTATAACTACATTTACCTTTCATTATCCCAACACATGATGATTTTCTTCTAAATGGCAAATCCAATTTGAAAGTTGTACAAATCAATTGTATTAACTAGGGGAAAAAGATAAATATCAATTACCCTTTAATTGTCATTTTCTTCATACAGAAATGGTCACAGATTCCAACAATTACAATCTGTTATTGTTTGTTACCTGCAGGTAAAATCCACTTGCAGTTTCAAGAAAGAGGTTGAGGGTGGCATGTGTTTCACCTCTCTTATTATTCTACAACAATCATTTCAATAAAATAAATCAAATTTAAAACAATCAACAAAGGCCACACCAGTAACATTTCTTGTTTGTCTGACCCAAACATACAGAAATTCAATTGTGAAAAATAACATTATTGTAAATTTCCTGCTTCTGGAAAATTTTGTTCCATTTCCCATCCCTTTTTTGTGCTAGTTTAAAACCTGGTCATGCCTGTAATTTAAATTCATAAAGAAATTTACATGTCAGAAAAAACAGATATTGATTGATTGTATGTTGTTTAATGTCCCTCTCAAGAATCTTTCACTTGTCAGTGGAGAGCTGCAAATTTTGTCCTATATTCAGCACTTACAACCATATAGCAGTGTGGGATCTTTTTTGTGCCAGCACTTACTGCGACACAGGATCTCGGTTTATACAGTCTCATCTGAAGGACCAGTCTCCTTGTCCCAAAGTTGGATTTGAACCCCACGACGTAAGGATAAATCCTTACTTTGCAACTCTATACAGCAGATGCTCTAACCACTATGTTACAGGTAACTCACAAAACAGAGACAACACTGATCACTTTTCACAAGTTGACAGCATCTGTCTGATCTGATGATTTTTTGTGAAAGTAACAGAAAACAGATATATATTTGCCCAACTCAGTCATTAATATCAATGGTGAACTGTTACCATTTGACCTGATAGGCATATTAAGGGTAAAATGTACCTGTCTGTCCTTTGTCTGTATCTGTAAAATGTTGATGTGATTTTTGAAAGCATAGTTCCATCTGAAATTTATAAAATTGGACTTTTCCTGTATTTATCTTCTCTTCATAATAAATTTGCAAGGACATATATTGCTTTGTCATTTTATGTTTTTAGTTAATGAAAGAGTAGTTAAAATATATTCATGTTACAAGAGACCTAAAGGGCCTTTAATTGCTCTTCTGATAAATTGTACAACCTTTCACTTCTATTTGAAGCCTCTAGTAAGTATCCTGTATATTTAGATCAAGTCTTGCAATTACAAAAATAGGTAATCATGACCAACATTTTGAATCAACTGACAAAGTGTTGTGATTCAAAGCCCCTTATCATTTTACATCCCTAGATATATTATAGCCATGCCATCAAGAAGTAGTTCTCAGTGACCTACTATTTGGTAAATATACTCCAACACCCCAAAATACCTCAAATGACAAAGTTTGTGGATTTTTAGTCTCTTACTATTCTAATTATCTAGATATTGTTTTAAAATCAAAAAGTAGGCCACTGTGACCAACCTCTTACTTGAAACATTCTGAGAACTCAAAATACAAAACTGACGAAGTTTGATGATTTTAAGTCAATAAGTACCTGAAATATTTAAACATAGGCTCAAAATTTTAAAAGCGATAAAGTGACCTACTTTCAGTTGAAATACTCCTAGGACCAAATACCCACCAATTAACAAAGTTTGACGATTCTAAGACAATTAGTACCTGAAATATTCCAATATTACCATAAAATATCAAAAGAAGGTGAAGGTGACCAACTTTTCAGTAAATGTATCGTGCCTTCATATGTTTCCGATAGTCATATGTTTCCGATAGTCATATGTTTGTGATGTGACCTAAAAATAGGTCAGATATCCCAAGATGCATCATCCATACGAGTTTGGTCCAGGTACGGCTTGTATTTACTTGGGAATGGACCGGCCTCAAAAACTTTTATCTGCATGGTCACTCATCTGGAAAATGGAGGTCAGATCCAGCCCCTGAAGCAAGTCTAGAAGTTTTCATCCAAAGATCATCCATGCAAGTTTGGTCAAGGTAGGGCTTATATTTACTTTAGAATGGACCTGCTCAGGGGTTTAAATTTTCCTAAAACATGCACTGGTCCAAGGACTTTTAAGCTAGTAAAATTCACTTGTCCATGTTGTTACAATAAAGATTACTCTTTATATTTAAGGTAAATGTTAACTATCGGGGTAGGTTGACATACTCTATGTCTGAAGTAAAGCTAAAATTAATATTTATTTATAAATGGAATCAGCTGATTGATCAAATGCAGTTTTGGCAGGGAAAAAAATGCACCCATGGGTAATTTGAATGGGTCGGCCAGGTTACAAGAAACATACATAATTTTTTAGCCCTTAATTTTATTCAATTTATAAGGCAACATAAGGAATTTAGGGAGTTAAAAAATAAAAAATATTTTTAAAATATTTTTTAACCTCTGCTGCTCCAAAAACTTAAGGCTGGTACTCATCTGGAAAATGTAGGTCAGATCCAGCATCCTAAGATACATGGTAGTGCCCATCCCTAGATGCATCATCCATGCAAGTTTGGTCCAGGTAGGTTTTATAGTTACCTGGGAATGGCCTGCTCCTAAAACTTGAACTGGAACACCGATGCCAATGCCTGTAGTATTATAAAGCATAAGCTCTGATATCTCGACTTCTTAGAGGCAGCTAAAAATTGTTTACAGACAGACAGACAATGGACACCTTAATATTGCATAAACTCTTCTGATCTCTGACCAGTGGAGCTAAAAATTGGCCAATGGATTACTGAGATATGGCTCATATTCTAGAAAGTACATACATGTCACACACTGCATAAATGGCCATAGCATTAGCTCTTTGAGCCTGTGGCTCAGAAGAGCTAAAAATACTATAAGTATAAATCTTAAGCATACAAATCCTGTTCAACTTTTTTATCCAGGGCATACTCCAAATCCATAAGGAGTAACTTCTTGTATAGATCCTCCAACCTTTGCCTCACAACCCATGTCTCTGACACACCTTTAGAGGAATCTGTAAAGAATTTAGCACACTCCATATAAATGTCAAAACAAGACGTCTATGAGCCAATGGTCACCAGTAATGTCCCACAAGATGGCATGCCTTAAAACAAAGAGCATGCTAAAATATAAAGCATCTGCAATGATAGCTGCAGAAATCTAGCGTTATGGTTTAATATATTAGTCTTTGACCATAATGCTACAGATCCTGTTATATAAATTTTTCTGCCATCTGATAATAAAACATAGGTTTAATCAGAGATTACAGAGCTCACTTGGGTACAGACTTATCCAAAACTTCAAAGTAGTATCTCATTCAGAAAATATAATTCAAATCCAGCATCTGAACCAAGATTTTTGTTGCATCATTTATGCAATTTGGTTCAGACAGGCCTTATAGTTTCTTAGTAATAAACATACACCCAAAGTTTGACCTGTTCACTCATCCAGAAAATGTTGGTCAGATCCAGCATCTGAAGCAAGCCTGGTACAGTAAAACTCATTTAGTAAGAACACGGATAAAGCGAATTCATGATGGATATAGCGAAGTTTTTCGGGGTTCCCGGCAAAATTTTTAACATTTCTTTAGAAAAGTTTACGGTGAAAAGGACCTCTGATCGCTTTACATTTATTTGTTTCTGTACATAATCTTCTGTCTGTATAAATGTTTTCAGGACCACAATGTGAACTAGTTAACTAATTGTACCATCCTGCATAAATAAAGGATATTATTATTATTATTATTATATAACAAATTTACGGATATAGTGATCTGATTTTGAGTCACGTAGAGGTAAAATATAATGAAATTTACATCTTTTATAATGAATTTTCAAAAATCTCAAAATTTGATAATTTGAACTGACTTTATTTTTATTAAATATTTGTGTATAAAAATCAATTCATAATAAGACTTTAGTTATCAAAGGTATGTTTTGTAATAATTGCTATTCTAAACAAGAGATGTATGTAAAACACTTATGCCCCCTCCCCCAACATTGGAATTTTTCCAAGTCCAAAAGGTCATAACTCTGTCAAAAATGGCAGAATTGTACCAAAAACAGAACTTGACCAAGATAGTCATCTGATAAATCTGTATACCAAATTTCATTTACCTCTACAAAGAAAATGAAAAGAAACTGCAAATAATTTGATTTTTTTTCTACTTCAGAAAATTTCCAAGGGGCATAACTGATGTTATTGATAAATAAGACAAACACATATAAAACAAAAATGGTCCTGACAACAGCATAAATGTTCGCAAGGAATCTATAATATCAATCAAATATACAAACCAAAACAGAACTTGACCTAGATATTCATGTGATATATCGGGATTGAAATTCAGGTTTATGCACGTTTTTACTAAACTTCAGTTGTTTTTTATTGTATGTGCAATGGTTGCAAAGAAAATGAATGGTAATTGGAATTTTTCTAAGTCCAAGGGGCATAACTCTGACTAAAACAGAACTTGACCTAGATATTCCTCTGATAAATCTGTACACTAAATTTCCTTTCAGTGTGTGCAACAGTTGCAAAGAAAATGAATGGAAACTGCAAATAATTGGAATTTTTCTAAGACAGCAGCAAAGCTAGATATTAATGTGATATATGCCAGTGTGTGCAATGGTTGCAAAGAAAATGAATGGAAACTGCAAATAATTGGAATTTTTCCAAGTCCAAGGGCATAACTCTGTCAAAAATTCTTTGAAGGGAGTGATATATCTGTATACCAAATTTATTTCAGGTACAACGTTTGCGAAGAAAATGAATGGAAACTGCAAATAATTGGAAAAGTCCAAGGGCATAACATTGCAAATTTCCTATACATGTGATATAGTTATACAAATTCATTATATGGATATAAAGAATTGGAAACGGTAATTGTAGCAAGGGGCATAACTCTGTCAAAAATGGTGATATATCTGCACACTAAATTTCATTTCAGTATGTGCAATGGTTGCAAAGAAAATGAACGGAAACTAAGTGGACCGACAGACCGACAGACAGACTGACAGACAGCAGCAAAGCAATATGCCCTCCCTTCAAAGATAAATATTTGGTAATAATAAAGATAGAAAATTCGAACATTGCAAATTTCCTATACATAGTTATACAAATTCATTATATGGATATAAAGAATTACGGATGTAGCGAATTATAAATTTACAGGTCCCACCATCTTCGCTAGCCAAAGGTTTCTGATACTCTACTCTCCTCATGAACCCTTGGCATACGGTGAAGTCAAAAGACGGGATTGTTTTTGTCACATGATCTCGAACCTATCAGGTATGCACAGATTGCGTCATCGACAGAAATAAAGACGCATGTTTAAAAAAATTAAATCAAAAGTTTTTTTCAAGAATAATTAAGAAACAATAATTAAGTTATGCTTATTTATTATTTATAGTGCAAATCTGAACTTCTATATAGATTTTTAATCACATATTCAGAAGATATTGGACGACACCGTAGCTATTCATAGAATTACATGTTATCTTATGGATCGTTGTTTACTTGCGTTTTTCATTCCCGAGATTAAAAAGTCAAGAAGTATTTCGAATGCAAATATCGTCATTTACAAAAAACATTGCTGATTGGTGCTCCTGGTGTACTGAATCCCAATCAGAACTCAAGAAAAAAAACCCAACTTTTATCAACACCGTATACCAAGGGTTCATGAGGAGAGTAGCATATCAGAAATCCTTGGCTAGCGAAGATGAGGTCCCAAGGACTTCGCCATTACCCAGTTTTACTGATGTGTGCTTCCTTAGATACATCATCTATGAAAGTTTGGTCTGCATAGGGTTTATAGATACTTCGGAAGGGGACTCGACCAAAAACTTTAACTTGTTCACTCATCTGGAAATTGTAGGTCAGATTCAGCATCTGAAGCAAGCCTGGAAGTATGCATTGTTGCAACCACTATTGAAATAATTATTTCAATTATATGGTTGAGAGTACATTTCAATAACAAACATAGGTTGCAACCACTTTTGAAATACAACCACTATTGAAACAAGAGATGTTTGTAAAACACTTATGCCCCCCTCCCCCCCAATTGGATTTTTTCCAAGTCCAAAAGGGCATAACTCTGTCTAAAATGGTGAGATCCTACCCAAAACAGAACTTGACCTAGATATTCAGCTGAAAAATCTGTATACTAAATTTCATTTCAATATGTGCAACCTCTGCAAAGAAAATGAATGGAAACTGCAAATAAGTGGAATTTTTCTAAGTCCAAGGGGCATAACTCTAAGAAAGAAGGGGCATGAAAAATCTGTATACTAAATTTCATTTCAATAAAGGGTGTGATTCCAAGGGGCATAACCCAAGGGTGTGAACAAAACAGATCTTGACCTAGATATTCAGCTGAAAAATCTGTATACTAAATTTCATTTCAATATGTGCAACCATTGCAAAGAAAATGAACGGAAACCGCAATTAAGTGGAATTTTTCTAAGTCCAAGGGGCATAACTGTCAAAAATGGTGTGATCATACCCAAAACAGAACTTGACTTAGATATTTAGCTGAAAAATCTGTATACTAAATTTCATTTCAATATGTGCAACCTCTACAAAGAAAATGAATGGAAACTGCAAATAAGTGGAATTTTTCTAAGTCCAAGGGGTATAACTCTGTCAAAAATGGTGCGATCATATCCAAAACAGAACTTGACCTAGATATTTACCTGATAAACCTGTATACCAAATTTCATTTCAGTATGTGCAACGGTTGTGAAGAAAATGAATGGAAACTATATGGACCGACAGACCAACAGACCGACAGACCAACAGACCAACATACCGACCGACAGACAGCAGCAAAGCAATATGCCCTCCCTTTTTCGAAGAGGGGCATAATAATTATTTCAATAGTGGTTTAGTGCATTCCAATACCAAACATAGGTTGCAACCACTATTGATATAGTGTTCATTTTCGAGATAAAAATTTCAATAGTGATTAATAAAATATAGATTTCAAGTGATTGAAATAATTTCAAAAGTGCTTTAAACAATGATTCCAAAAGATATTAAAATGATTATTTTAAAAGTTGCTGATAATATTTTTCATACTGTATTTGGCTGAATATGATATGCATTGATGTAAAATAAGGACCCCCCCTTTTTGAGCCTGAAACTGGGGAGAAAACGCAGTTCGGTTGTATTATTCACAACAGAAAATTTTACCAAGCAATGTTCTGAACTTTGAAAATAGCGGTTACTAATGTTATGAAAATCGGCACAAAGATTAAGTGTCAAAAACTTTTTTTCAAATACATTTAAAATTTTCTCTTAAGGATATCTGATCCTCAGCCAGGAAGGATAACTCCAAAAATTAATATTTAAATTGAAATGCATCAAAATGAAGCCTCAAATTTATTTTTTTTCATGCAACAATTTTCATTTTATTTATCTTTATAAGACTGGAGCTCTTTGGAAGTTTTAGAAAAGGTCCTATAAAAGTTGACATTTGTACCCTATAAAAGGAGAAAAAATTAATACAGTTTTAGAAAAAAAGATTTTATTGAATTCAGTCTTAGATATCAATGCTTATTAGCATGATATGAAATGAAAAGTGATTTGTGGTGTCTTGCACATGTTGCAGTGATAACAAAAGCCTTTTACGCTATGTATTATAGAATACATGACGGAAATAGAAGACAAAAAACACCAAATAAGTATAAAAATCATGAAAATTTCTCTGAATGCCTGGATACCTATCATTTTTTAACCTAAAATATATTTGTTTATCAATTTGCATTTAGAAAATGCATTGCTCAAATTCAAATTCGCTTTTTCTGCAAAAATATTGGAGATTTGACAATTTTCCCTATATAATATGATTAACTTTAATTATTAACTTTAAAGAAATACTGTGGATAAATTTACATAACTTTGTGGATTCAGAGATACTTTTATGAGTATTTTTGATTACTTAACTGCTAATTTTATACACCTGAGGATCGGACTACTTTAATCCTTAATTTCAATACATGTATCATGGCAATC